GCTTGCACGGAGGCATTTCAGACGTGCACGTTTCACTCCCAAAAGTTGAGTTTTCCCCACTTAACTTTGTATTTATCAGGTAGGCCTTAAAGGGGAGGTCAACCCACCACGTTTTCTTGACAGTTTGATCTATGTGCCTGCACTCGTCTAAAATGGCATGATGATGAATAGTGCGTTTGTGGAATTTAAGTTAAGCGGTAAAATCCACCCGTGTTTTATCCGGTTCACAGGGCGGCCATTTTGCCACTTGCCGTCGACTGAAAATGACATCAGAGTTGCTAGGCACTCAGGTAACAACCAATCATGGATCACCTGTTTTCTGAAGCTGAGACATGATCGGCCGTTACCGGAGCAATTGTGATGTCATTTTTAGTCGACAGCAAGTGGCAAAATGGCCGCCCCCTGAACTGGACAAAAATGGGCGGATTTTACTGCTTAACTCATGTTCCACACAAAATATTAATCAGAATGACATGTTTGTGGCTCTGCGTTGAACATATTTTAATGAAAAAAATGGGGCGGACTTCCCCTTTAAGTAGATGTTATCTTGTGAAGAAAATTCATGTTGGTCAAGTGCCCCCACTTGAGAAAAAAAAAAAAAAAAAAAGTAAGCAGACAATGTCCACACACATACTACGAAAAATAGCCGGACAGTTAAAATTTGGCGGACTTGGTTGAGAAAGGAAAAAGGAAAAACGCGGGTGGAATAATAACAATAATTGTGTCACAGGATAACATGACAACTGTCTGCTTGCAACCGAGTATTGACATTCTTTCCTAGAAGTAATTAAACGACGGCGTTTGAGCGCGTGTCTCCGACACATCTTGGAACGAGCGCTAATCCCAAATTGAGCCCCGAGATTAACAGCGAGTTTTGCGGCCGCCGTACGCAGGCCCCGTTTTGATGTCTTTTAATCGCAGATGCTCGCCCGGCGGGAATCGTCTTAATCCCATCAGGCATCTCGGCGGACGCCAGCTGTCAATAAAAAAAAAAAAAAAAAAAAAAAGCTGCAACAGCGCTTCCGGACGGCAAGCGAGGGCCACTCGAAGGCATTCGCGGGACACTAAATGAAGAAATCGAGGCCATGAGGTGGAAACTTGGCTGCGGGTGGCACCTCGGCAACCACCTTTGTTCTGCCCCACATATTTCGATTTAACTAGTGGCAGGTCTCGGCCCCTCAGATTGCCGCAATTGTTTTATTTCACAGAATCCGGCACCAGCAGCTTGCTACAGCATCAAATAGGTCTCGCACACTCACACACTTTTCCCCAAACACTCACATGAACTAAAACAGCCGCAAGAGACCGAGTTTATTTTTACTCCACGCTCTTTTGCATTACTTGTATCCTCACCAGGATTTATATATTTTTTTTCATTTGTATTTGGCTCACGTCCCAACTTCAGTCTTTTAACTTTGGATTTCAACACGGACCGGAGATCGTCAAACATTATTGCCTGCTCTGGTACTTTGCTAGCATGAAGCTAATCAGTTAACATCGAACGGCCCAAAAGCGTCATCTTACTCTTTCGAACATTACAGGCGCACTATCGCCTCCTCAGGCATGAAGCACAACTACAATGAGATTCAAAGCAACAACAAAAACAATAAAAACAAAACAAAACAGTGTTTCACCATTGCCTCAGTGAGCGCACAGAGGCCTAAAAAAGTTCCTTGTGGTTGACATTTGTCAGCACTTTGTGAGCAGGATGTCCCGCGCGCCGCCAACTTCCCAGATCTGTCACCTGGGACGGGAATTGGGAAACAACAACAACAAAAAAAAACCTTGCCTCCAAGCGCGCCGACGTGTTGATCAGCAGTCAAGGCCTGGTTGACTTTGACTAAACACATGCAGGAAGTGGATGCCGACGCGGCAAATGTGCGCCGCTTTCAACGAGAGGCTCGTGAAAGGCATCGTGATAATAAGGCAGCACAACAGGGCAAGCTCGCCTTGGCTTTGCTCCATGGGGACAGTCCAAAAAGAAATGTAAAAAAAAAAAAAAAGGCACAAAAATATGATCAATCGTGCACATCTCTACTTCACTTCACAATATGAAATTGTCTCATGTAGGGGTTCAAAATTAGGGCCAGCGGGCTGAACCCGACCAATTGGGCGTCCAATCCGACTCGCCGCCATGCAGGACGCATCAACGACAGTTTTTCAACAAAGTAAACATGGTTGGCTAATTTTGCAGATGACCACTTGCCACTAAAATGACTTTCAGGCATGCTTGTGTCTTGATTAGAAAATGCTCAATGCAGGAATGATGAAGTGAAGCCAAAAAACAAAAAAAAAACAAAAAATGCATTCGTGATGAATGTCTACTGGCTTGCAGTTGGGGAGCGATCCTCAGAGTCTCCAAACGTCTCTATTACTGCCAGAAAATCAGGGGTAGTTTTTTTTTTTTGTATGTGTAATCCTTCTAAGAACAACATCATAACTCTCACTTGGCGGAGGTAAAAACATGAAGACGCAAAAGAATTATGGGAAATCTCTTCACGGCTCCTTCCCCGCGCTTCTTAAATTCCCTCCCAAAGAATATCCTTTGTTAATCTGCTCTCAACCGGCGCCGTTGTTCGAGCGCCGCCGCTCCCATAATCCTTTGCGGCTGCTCGCCAACTCCAGTGTGAACCGTCGATACTTGCCCGCTCCAAAAAGGCGCCGTGCTAGCTTTTTGCCTTTTTGGAATTATAAATAACGACCTGGTCCGCATCGAGCCCGACAGTTTCAAGTTGGAACGGTTTGAAGCGGTGAGGAAACGTGGCACGATAAGGGAGATAAAAATCTCTTCATTTGCAAATGTTTATTTTTCGATCATGTGGGCATATGCTGCCCAAAAAGTCGTCAATCATATGAACGGTGTAAAATCGTCATTGTCATAAAGAAAAAAAATCAGGTGCAGAATAATATCCCGAATGAAATGGTGACAAGGGGCCTGCGTTGCGTTGTTGCCGCCTTGCTTCCATCACCACGAGAAAAGCAGATTAAGCTCCACCACACGCACGCCGGCGGCTCATTTCCTGGCTGCTCGCACGTCTTCTGCCGCGCTCAGCACTTTTCTCGCACACACACAGAACATGATAATGATGACGCCTGACCTCGTCGAGACAAAAACATGGCGGGATGCTGAGGTGCCCTCCCGTCATGTTCCTCAAAGCGCAACAACACGTTCAACGCGCTGATTGCGCGCCGGGTGAAAAGCGGCGTGACGTGCACGCACAGCCGTGTTGCCGGTAAATGAGCATCAGTGGAAAAATACATATTTGTTTTCCCCGAGCAGGGAACTGCTGTGTGGTTTCAGAAGCTTTTTTTTTTTTTGTTTGTTTTTAATATCATGATTGGGGTGGGGGTCCCCACACAGCTGCCAGTCGGAGCTTGAGTGTATCCAAAAAAATTATCTGTCACAAATCAATTTGTTGTTCCTTTTGAAACAAGTGCATACTTGCATATGGAGACGGCTTTTTGTTATTCATGCAATCAGTCAAGGCGTTTTTATAAAAAGGTACGTTTGTTAAACTATCAACCTGGGCCTACTCAGGTCTAGAAACATCCCTGCATATACAAAAAAAATCAAGTGGTACTTGAAACATAAAACCAAGGCGATTACACGTGTATTCAAGCGTGATTCTCCTTTATGAAAGTCTGCTAGCTAAACGCGAACACACAATTTAACCTGCCATGGACAAGCTAAGGAAACTAGCATTGATGTTATGTTACTGTATGAAACTTTAAATAACTCGAAAAACATGCAGAAATTAATACTAGCAGGTATATATTCTTTATCCTCTGTGTCAAACGACGACTGTGACTGCTGCTGAGGTGTGACGCTCTTGTCTTGCTCGGTGCCATCACAAAATCTGTGCGTAATACGTCTACGTGTCATATTGCCCCCTGGTGGCCAAGGTGCGCAAGCTTGACACAAAAGGCCCGATTGAATTAATGCATGAAATCATGATGTAAAAAGTTTTTAATTCACTATATTCCACTTAACTGTGATATTTGGAAGCAAGATTGTTATTCCCCGTTGATAGAATGTTCATCCGCCAAACAATGGTCTTTTGCTCCTCCACTTTTCCGCGCCACTGTATGCAAGTCTATTTTTGTTACTAAAAACATGTCGCATTTTTGAGGGTGGGGGGCGGCTAGCGTCATAATTAATGCGATTTAAATTAACTTCAATGGAACAGGCGATTTGTTTCGAGCGACGAGGGTGATCACGCAATGAATAAAGCTCGTAGTCCAGGTAAGGAGTTTGATCCTAAAAACAAATTGGTTGTCAATGGAAAGGATCCCAGCATCTCATGGGCTTGCGGTCGCACTATTTCACAGATTCTTTTTTTTTTTTAATTACTGGTTCTGCATCCCATTTATTTAGGGTGTGTTTCCACTGTCAACCACTAGATGGGGTCACACTAATTTAACGTGGTTTACATTTGAAAACAGGAAACAGGAAGTAAATTCAGCTCAGCTGAAGTTTTTGCTGCAAAGATAATTGAATGTCAACCCCCCCTTAAATACTACTTTGTTCGCAGTGTCTGTAGGTTCATTATATAATGTATGTCTTTGGGTACGACTAGTCATGTGTATTGTGAGATAGTAAGTTAACTTTTTTAGGATGGAAAAAATAACGTTTACTTTCAACACAGAGGGACGGCACTCTGTCACAATGTTTTGTACAATATTTTTGTGATCCATTGTCTTTCTCTCTCAATGTGCTGTGTATTTAAATGTGCTGGTAGTATTTTAAAAGTGACTTTAAAAAAAATAAAGTGCCATGAATGCTATATAATCACGCCCAGGGTGTATCTAAATAAGGTCTTTTTATATCAGCGTTCTTTAATGGGGCGGGGGGGGGGGGTCTGGAACGGACCCCCTGCGATGGAGCGGGATTATCCGTTGAAATTGACATTTCGGAAGGGCTCCGTTTGTAAACCGGGTTTCTCTTCGCCCCTACTCAAGACAGTTGAAGTACGTCACTGGGTCGAACAAGCTGGACTCACCGCTATGCGCGTGGACATCTTGTGGTCCCCCTCGGCGCCCCTCAGCTCCCCGTTGGACGGCCTGGCGCCGTAGTCCGGTGGCGGCTGTCCCGCAGCCCCGCGGCCGCCCTTGCTCTTGCGTGTTCCGGGCCCCTGCTGCACGACGTTGAGCAGCTGCAGCGTGCTCTCGTGCTCGCGGTCCGAGCTCTCGGCCTGCCCGCGGCGGTAGCGGTCCTCGCAGGTGGAGTGGTGCCGCCTGCACAGCTCGATCCGGGCGCGGAGCCGCTCCACGATGGCGCTGTGC